TTGGTCTCTAATTCATTGATCTTTATTTTTTTAGTTTTTAATTCATTAGTCTTTATCATATTGGTTTCTAGCTTGTTAGTCTCTAATTCATTGGTCTATATTTTGGTCTTTATCTTGTTGGTCTCTATTTTGTTAGTCTCTAATTTTTGGTTTCTAGCTTGTTGGTTTCTAATTTGTTGGTTTCTAGCTTATTGATCTCTAATTTGTTAGTTTCTATCTTATTGGTCTCTAATTTATTGATCTCTAATTTGTTGGTTTTTAGCTTGTTGGTTTTTAATTCATTAGTCTTTAATTCATTAGTCTCTAATTTATAGTTTCTAATTTGTTGGTCTCTAGCTTGTTGGTCTCTAATTTGTTGGTCTTGGTCTTTAATTTGTTGGTCTCTAGCTTGTTGGTCTCTATTTTGTTAGTTTCTAGCTTGTTGGTTACTAATTTGTTAGTCTATATCTTGTTGGTCTCTAATTTGTTGGTCTCTACTTTACAGAAACTTGTAAAATATTGATATTAGGTTTATAATTAGCAAATAATATTTTTAAGATATAAATAAAATATTTTTTTAGAAAATTAGTTTATTATGGGTTTATAACTAATAGTTATTATATTATAATAATGTTTTTCTAAAAAACATTATTATAACATTATGATTATTAGTTAATACTAATTGAAACCTAGTTATTAACTAGTTATTATAATGTTATAATAATATTTTTTAAAAAATATTATTATTATATTATAATAACTAGTTAATAACTAGTTTTTAATTACAGTCAAACCTCTCTATAGTAACCTTTTTTACAGTCACAAAATTGATATAATTACAATTTTATTTTTATTAATTATCTATAACTATATAGAAAATATCTCTATATTAGTCACACTTCTTTACAATCACAGATTTTTGTATCCCAGAGATGTAACTATAGAGAGGTTTGACTGTAGTTATTAACTAATAATCATAATGTTTTTTTTAGAAAAACATTATTATAAGATAATAACTACTAGTTATAAACCTATAATAAACTAATTTTCTAAAAAAAAAAAAATATTTTAATTGTATTTTAAAAACAATATTTGCTATTTATAAACTCAATATTAATTTTTTTCAAGTTTTTATAAAGTAGTTCATTGGTCTATATCTTATTGGTTTTTAATTCATTAGTCTTTAATTTATTTGATCTCTAGCTTGTTGGTTTCTAATTCATTTTTTTCTAGCTTGTTGGTCTCTAATTCATTGATCTCTAATTTATTAGTCTCTATCTTGTTGGTATTTAATTTATTGGTCTCTAATTCATTGATCTTTATTTTTTTAGTTTTTAATTCATTAGTCTTTATCATATTGGTTTCTAGCTTGTT